GTTGTAGGGTATTCAACGGTCGGCCCCGCTCGACTGTAGTTTTCGCTTACTTGTTTTGTAATACCCTTTTAATTTTCGACGTCACTTATATTATCAGATTTAGGATAAGGAATAATAAAACTTGACCACCATATTTGAGAGAAATAACCAGATCCCAAAGAACCATTGAATATAGTGGTTAGGGTGAGTAAAGTTCATATACACATGAATTTAAAATGCAAACCCCAGCAGCAGCAGTAGGGGAACTACAACTTCTTAACAATACAGTGAAACTAATTTGCGAAAATAATTTAATCTACTAATAATTGTAATTACCGTAATAATCAGATAAAAGCTTAGAACAGAATGAAAAAATCTCTGCAAACAAATTTGCTATATTAGGGTGGTGCCCAGATTTCCAACAGCCAAGTTTCATGCTACTAAGAAATTCGCGAACTTTACGTTCTGAATTTACAAATTTATAAACATTTTTAGGATTCTTCAAAAATGTATTTTTCATTTTTCTTAAATAATTCAAATAAGACTTTAAATATTATCAAGTAGGTATTACATTCTTTGAAATTTTTACGAAAACGCCTAAGATTCGGACTAAACCAAACTGGCCCCGAGTCGGAATAGAGCTTAAATCATGGGACTGATACAGCTAACGCATTATTATATACAATGTAAAAATTTGTTTCAAAAATACAACTCCGAAGCTAGAGTCTTGTGACTTTAAATTTACTAACAACACATGCAACAAAGTTGTTAATTTGACACTTCTCTCGCAATATTGTAATCACGAAATATGAATGAAACGTCAAGCATTTTGCACAATATCAACAAAAAAATTCATCTATGCACTCTTACCTTTAAGCTATGTCTGCTCTCTTTAAAAATATCATTTATATTATATTTTTATTCTTTCCAAAAAAAAACCAGTTAACCACTTCTACACGTGCTCTCCATTTAACGTTTCTAAAAATAATTGATTTTGAAATGATTTTGTTTTTATACATTTGTTTCAAAAAAATAAATACAAACACTGAAGTGGCAGAAGTTGCGAATATTAAACAAAAGTGTTAGCAGAGCCTCAATTCCTGTTCTAAGTAAAGGTGGGAATACATAAAACGGTTTTTTGATTGGCTTAAAGGTGCAGGCACATAAAGAGCTTTTATGGCTGGCTGTGGTCTGTTCCAAAACTGCAAGAAGGAAGAAATTTTTACTACAACCGATTTTTATACCCTCTACCATTCTATGGAGGGTATATTAGCTTTGTCATTCCGTTTGTAACTACTCGAAATATTTGATGATTTCAGCAACATTATTCAACGGAATCGTTTTAAATTTCGTATTGAAAGATCCTGATGGGTACTACAACCTATGGCAACAAATTTCTTATGAAGGCCCACGGCTTCGTATAGCCCCCATATAACAGTACCTCCCGATAGTCGGTATTTTCATGATTTTTTTGGACATTATTCACTGCAATTGTTTCAAGTTTCTTATTGGAAGATCTTAAGGGGTACTACAACATATGGCAAAAAATTTCTTATGCAGGTCCACGTCTTCGTATAGGCCTTATATGACGGCACTTCGGTATTTTCATGATTTTTGCGACATTATTCACTGGAACTCTTTCAAATTTCGTATTTGAAGTTCGTAATGGGTTCTACAGCATATGACAAAAAATTTCATAAGCAGGTTCTCTTCTTCGTATAGTCCTCATATAACGGTTTTCGATTAAGTAGTAGTTTTGGTAGTGGTAGTTTACGGTTTTTTTTTTTTTTTTGAAAATCTTCAATTTCCTTCTAAATGGTAGAGGGTATTAAAAGTTCAGCCCGATATCGAAAAAATTGACTGATTTTGATTGGTTGATGACTTAGACTGGCTTCTTCGTAAAAGACAGAGGAGCTTTAGGTTGACCGAGATTAATTTCGGCCCTTAATTTATTCTTGTTCTCCCTACGCTTCTTTCTTCTTTTACGAAGAAGTCAGCCGATAACTTAAACCAATCAAAAACAAAAACGATTTTATATATTCTCATCTTTATATGTGTTCTCACCTTAATTGCTTTGGGATTTGGTGTACAGGAGAAAAAAATGGATGAATTATTCTATTCTCAGCAGAGTTTTTAAATTCTCATTGCGTTCTCTGTTTACCGGCGATCGATTGAATAATGCAAGCGCCAGCATTTTGCTCACTGCCCGTCAGATAAGAACAGCTAGATGACGGTTGGATTTTCCGAATGTTTTGCCACACAAAGACTCATACCACATTTGACCCTTCTCGAATGTTTTGAATCGCTGTGCTTATTTTGATATTGCAAATATGCTCAGTGCATTCATGCTGATACATACTCGTATTGTGTCAAATGTTTGACGTGTGAAAAACCTACTCTATTTATAAATTAGATGTTACGCCCTCTAGAATGACACATTTGACAAATGTTTTAATTTATATACAGAGACAATGAACTGAAAATATGCATTTATAAATGTTTTTATAATTATCACAAACATTAACAGAGTATTGCTGGTGGAATCAGCCGTAGGTCATGGTCTCAAATAATATAACAATACCACAAAAATTAATAAAAGAAAAACTCATTGAGAACTAAATTTACCGATAAACCAAAGCAGCAGTATAACGACCCAGTCAGGGAATGACTGTCGGTAAGAATACAAACAAGATAAAAAGCAGTAAGTTCGGCCGGGCCGAGCTATGAATACCCTCCACCATTTGGAACGAATTTGGAAATTTTCAAAAAATAAAATCCTTAAAAAATTCTGTTCAAATTTTAAAAATACCGATTATAGCCGTTATATTGGGGTCTATACGACGTTGACCTACATAGGCATTGTTTGTCATAAGCCATTACCATATTCAAATTCGAAACTTGAAATAAACGGTGAATAATGTTGTTAAAGTCATCAAAATATCGTATATGGGGAGGTCCCCTTATATCGGAGCTGTGCGAAGACCTGGACCAGCATAGACAATTTTCTGTCATAGGCTATAGCATCCATTACAAACTTCAAATACGACATCTCAAATAATTTCGATGGGTATTGTACCTAAACTCGTCAAAATACCGAATATAAGAAGGTACTGATACATGGGGCCTACACGAAGAACTGGACTTGCATAGACAATTTTCTGTCACAGACTGTTGTTCCCATTACGAACTCTAAATACGTAATTTGAAACATTTCCGGTGAATAATGACGCTAAAATCATGAAAATGCCGAATATTGGGAGGTACCGTTATATGGGGGCTATACGAAGTAAGTCCACGTCTTCATAGCCCATTTCAAATACCAAAAGTCCTGCAGACATAATATACATTTGAGTAAAAAAAATAAAATTGTAATTCCGTTTGTAACTCCTCGAAATATAATTTTAGACCCCACAATTTATATATTGATCAGCATTAAATTCTATGTAGATTTAGCGATGTCCATCGGCCTGTCCTTCTGTGGAAATCACTCTAGCTTCCTAACGAAATGAAGTAGGTTGATAAAATTTTACTCAAATATATACTATGTCTGCAGGACTTTTGGTATTGAAAATGAGCCATGTAAGTCCACGTTTTGGTATAGCCCCCACTTTAATGGTACCTCCCTATTTTCGGTGTTTTGTTGATTTAAGTGACGTTATTAATCGGAAAGATTTCAAATTTGGTATATGAAGTTCGTAATAAATACTACAGCCTATGACAGAAAATTGTCTGTGCAGTATAGCCCCCATATAACGGTAACTCCCGATAATATACGGGAATTTTCATGATTTTGGATACATTATTCACCAAATTTTAACACCCTCCACCATATATAGTATGTAGGGTATATTAACTCCCTTATTCCGTTTGTAACTGATCGAAATAATCATTTAAGACATACCCTTCATCAGAACAAAGTATATATGGTCTAAGACGATTTAGGCCTTCCCACTCCGTCCGTCTGTTTTAATCACGCTAGAGTCAAAACGAATAAAAACGGGAAGCTAAAATTTTTCACAGATCAGTCTTTTGTCTGTAGGCAGGTCAACTTTGAAAAAGGGGCTATATCGGTCCGTGATATAGTATAGCCCGCATATAACAGTTCCCCCCGATATTCGGTATTTTTATGATTTCAGACAAATTTTTCAATGGAATTGTCTTCAAATCCACACAAGAAGGAGTTCCTTCTGAGTACTTTACCCTTTAGAGTATTATCTAAATAGATCCACGTTTTAGTATAGATCCTTTTTGGTCCTTTGGCACATTTTTGCACAGATTTGTCTAAAAGTTGGAATTTGTAGTTCATAATGGGTTCTAGCTCTGGTGGAAGAACATTGATTATTTAGGTTCACGTTTTCCTATAGCACCCATATAACGATACCCACCGATACTCGGTATTTTGATAATCCTAGTCACATTTACCCACTAAATTGTTTCAAATTTGATATTTAAGAAGATTTGGTAAATGACAATCCTTGAAGTAGAAAATTTTCTATGGAGGTTCTCGTTTAGGTATGGCCTCCATACAACGCCCTCACCCACATCATGGTTTTTGGAAAAATTTAACAGCATTATCCAAACGGTCTTACTGGTATCCGTAGTTTAAAGTGAATTACGATTCAATTCAAATACTCTCTTTATAACCTGTTTTCTTTACCCAAAGCTGGAGGGCATTAAAAGTTTGGCCGGGATGTTTTTTTTTTCGTTTTTAATCTTTAAGGCTTAAGTCATCGGGTGGCTTCTTCGTAGAGGGACAAAGGAGTTTAAGTTCAACTTAGTTCGATTTCAGCCATAGGCCCCTTCATTCTTTTACGAAGAAGCCAGCCGATGACTTTAGCCAGTCAGAAAAGCATTTAATGTACTCTCACCTTAACTCACACCGACTAAAAATAAGTGGGTAATGTTCGATTCTACCGAATTTAATGCAATTTTTTGTAGTAACCGCTCAAGAAAACAAAACATCCAATTAAATACCAAAAAAATAAATAATCATTTAAAATTGTATTTCTTTTTCAGTTTTTTTTTTTTTTTTTTGTTTGATGGGAACATTAGCGGCGTGTTGCACCTAAAAATATTTGTACAAAATCGTTTAACATGAGTATGTGTGTGGGTATGGGTATGCAGGAAACATCTCAGCATTAGCATCAACATGGTCGTCATTATCCGGGTGCGTTGTCATCAAAGAGGAATTTTCATCATAATCATTTGCAGCATCGTCGTATGGGGGAATTGATAGGTGGCGTCCTTTCGATATGCATTTAGTCGTAGTAGGCTTGTAAATCTTCAAAGAGTAATGTATTATTGTGGCGTTCGGAATTCAGTGGTACCAGGGTCCTCGAGAAAAATCGATCTTGTTCTCGTTGTTGCTGTTCCATTTCCCGTTGTTGCTGCTGTCGCCTTTCGTGACTCAATTCATTCTGGGTGTACATGGCACGTCCTTGTAACATTATGAAATCGATCAGCCGTTTATTTGTTATCATTTTCATGGCATTCGGATCGGTACGTTTACGTAAGTAGTTAAAGCAACAGGTCCTGCAAGGGAATAAAAATATTGTAAGTGATATATGAATAATGGATGTAAAATAAACTCACCTGAAATGCTTCGTTCCACAAGCACTGGCACACTCATTTCCGCACGAATCACATGGTATTGCCGAGGATGTAAATATCTGCATGAACATCACACCTACATATATAATGATGAAATTGTTAATGAAGTACATAAAAGTTCAAACAAGTAAAAAAGCTGTAAATTTTCAAAAAAAAAACAAACAAACAAACAAAATTCTGTTAAAATCTTAAAAATACCGACTGTAGCCATATATACGACGACGTAGAACGGCGTAGGCAACTTTTGTCATAAGCCATTAAAATATTCAAATGCGAAACTTAAAAAAATCGATGAATAATGTAGCTAAAATTATACCAATATAGGGAGGTAGCATTATATGGGGGCTATACCAAAACATGGACCTGCACAGACAATTTTCTGTCATAGGCTGTAGTACCTACTACGAACTTCAAATACCAAAATTGAAACAATTCTGGAGAATAATGTCTCTAAAATCGTCAAAATACCGAATATCGGGAGGTACCATTATATAAGCGCTATACGAAGACGTGGATCTGCACAGATAATTATCCGCTACAAGATTCCTTAATAAGTACCCAAGCTAATCTACAGGATATGCAAAGCTATGGTTGCAAGAGACCGTAATAAGTACTCAAGCTGGATCAACAAGGATATGCAAATTTACGAGGATATCAAGGATCTTAAAGGATTCTAAATACACTACCTGGATTAAATGATTCTTCTGAGGATTCACGACTTAGAGACATGGATAAGGAATGATGATCAAGGTTAGTTTTCAATAAGTCACCTATAGTAGATTGGTGTTCACTGTTTGCCTGTCTTGCACTGCGCAAATATGCAAATAACCATATTATGTAGCGCATTTGCGAGCAGCCTCTTGGTCATTACCAACTGAACAATTGACAAAATATCCAAAAATGTGATATCATTTTATACGATCAAGACTTGCCTAGTCGAAATAACGGTTTTAGAACCTAGGTCTATTTGGAGCAAATCCGTTTCAGGACATTTGGAGTCTATCTAGCGATGACCGGCCATCCGTCTGTCTGGTTGGTGTGCACGATAAGTCTCGAATACTCCCGATTTGATCCAAACTTGGTACATCTTAGTATTATTGTCAAACTTAGATCGAGTACGGATATGTGCACTATCGGTCCACTCCTTCTGGTACCTCCGCCTCAAAGGGTCGAAATTTTCAAAAAATATATTTTTTGCACAGAAAGAGAAACGATAATTCGATTTTGCTCCAACTTTGCAAATCCTAGTATTGGCGTCAGTGCTAGGTCAGGTGCGAAAATGGACAATATCGGTCCACTCCATCAAGTACTTCCTCACAAAGGGTCAAAATTTTGAATAATTATAACTCTTATAAAATATGATGTAAGAGTCCGATTGCCTTTAAATTACACACATCGCAATATTTTTACTAACCCAAGGTCTGGTGTGAAATTGAAATATATCTGTCCACTCTTTCTGGTACCTCTCCCACAAAAGGTCAACATTTTGAATATTCACGAAGCTCATAAAACACGAAATTAACATCCGATTCCATTCAGTTTGCACTCAATATTTCACAATATTTCCATAAACACAAGATGTGTAAAAAAAATGGTTGCGATCGGACCATTCCTTCTAGTACCACTCCCACAAAAGGTCAAAGTTTTTTATAATCAAAACGATGATTCGAAATAAGCATCCGTTTCTCTTCAAATTACACACATCACATTATTTTTCTTAACCCAAGATTTGGTGTGAAATTGGAATATTTCGGTCAACTCCTTCTGATACCTCCCCCACAAAAGTTCAAAAGCTCATAAAACGCGAAATTAACATCCGATTCCATTCAGACTTGGCACATCTCAATATTTCTATCAACACAAGATCTGTTATGAAGATGGTAGAGATCGGACCATTTCCTCTGGTGCCTCCCCCATATAGGGTTCAAGATTTTTGAAAAACAAAACGTTCAAAGAAAGCGGGATAAGCATCCAACTCTCTTCAAATTTCACACATCACAATATTTTTGCTAACATGATCTGTAATGAAGATGATATATATCTGCGAACCCCTTCTGGCACCTCACCTACAAGGAATAATGATGTTCAATACTATTATCTGTCATAATCTGCGATTCTTTATAACTTGCTATATCTAAATATTTCTCTCAACCAGAAACCTGAGATGAATATGATATTTATGATTTCGTATAAAATTGGATATGAATGTTCGATTTTCTTGTAAATTTTCCCATACCAATATTTTTGTCTCTATTAGATGAAGTATGAAAATGGAATACTTCGGTCCACTATACCTGTTACCTCACGCATACGTCACATTTTCCAAAAATTTGCATATATCTCATATAAAGTATAGGAAGTAGTCGATATAGTTTAAATCTGGCACGTTGTAATATTTTTATCAGTCTTAGGTCAAATACGAATTGGTTAATACTGACCAACTGCTTCCCCCATAAAGGGTCAACATTTTGAATAATCATAACTGGGGACATAAAATAGCAAAACCGACTGACACTATTTTACTTGATTTACAAGAACTTCTAAAATATTTTAAACACATTAATTCACACAAATAAAAACAATACATTTATGTATTTAGTGTATACTTACAAAACAGCAGCACATGGAAATGCACTTTATAATGCATTTTTTCCTTCGATTTACTATCAATCATCTCCGTTCCAAAGTCTAGCAAAGACATTCAAAAATTGAAGAAATCTTTTACTTGTTTTTATTCTTTTATTATTTATTTAATCACACAGACTTAATTCAAACTATGTTTGAACTAAATTTACTGACACAACTGCTCCGAGTCAAAGCTGAGGAGAAAAAGACTCCTAACCTGTAGATTAACGCTTTTATATCCTTGATATCGCTATTATCCTTCAAAGGCAATAGCAGGAATAAAGTCATCCAAGCATGCACAAATTATTTATTTATTCATACAAACGTATCATCACCATCTTCAGGACGGTCATATCAACCCACAACGATTTGGATACTGACCAAGTTGTAACCCTATTCGTTGTTGTTCAAACACTTGCATGGAATTTTAAATATTTTCTTTTATCTCTTCGATCACGGTCACTACAGTACATCATAGTACAGGTGGTATGCAAAGCTTACTACATGTCCAGATTAACAAATGTGTAACTGTAAGGATTAATCTCTTTTTTCAGAGTGGTGATTATGTTAGGCATGAAGCGTTTCTATTGGTATTTTGTGGTATTGCCAAAAAATAAGAATCTATTTTGAATCTCAAAACATCAGCCTTATAATAGAGTACATCCCATTCGACCACACCAACGTTTTTTTCGCAGACAAGTACACTTGCATTTCTTATCAACATTAACAATATACATAATGGGAATGGTCACTAACTTTATTTGCATCTAAGAAAGGATTTTTATGTCGATGACATTGCTATTCAAATCGACTCACATGTTCGAAGGTATGAAAGGGTTGTTTGAATCAACATTTTAGTCACATGTTACGACAAAAACCACTTTTATTTTAAAGTTTTCCAATGAAAAATGAAACTTTTTAAATCAAAAAAGATTTGTGCAACTGGCATGTAAATGAAGAATAATAAAGGGAATCGAAGAGGTCCTTTTTATATTCTCCACCATACTATGGAGGGTAAATTAATATTGTCATTCCGTATGTAACTCCTCGAAATACTCATGTCAGACCCAACAAAGTATATATATTCTTGATCAGCGTAAAATTCTAAGACTATATAGCCATGTCTGTCTGTCTGTCCGTCCGTCTGTCTGTTGTAATCACGCTATCTTTCGAACGAATTGAGATAGAAGGCTAAAATTTTGCACACATGTATATTTTGACAGTAGGCCATATTCGGTATTTTGATGATTTTTGCGACATTATTCACCGGAATTGTTTTAAATTTGGTATTTGAAGTTCGCAATAAATACTAAATCCTAAGACTGAAAATTGTTTGAGCATGTCCACGCCTTCGTATAGCCCCCATATATTGGTGCCTCCCTATATTCGGTATTTTGATAATTTTAGCGACATTATTCACCGAAATGGTTTTAAATTTGGTGTTTAAAGTTCGTAATGAATACTACAGCCTAAGGCAGAACATCGTCTATGCAGTTCCACATCTTCGTATAGCCCCCGTATAACGGTACATCCCGATATTCGGTATTTTTAAGATTTAAGCGACATTATTCACCGGAAATGTTTCGAATTTTCTATTTGAAGTTCGTAATGGATACTACAGCCTAAGAAGGAAAACTGTATGTGCAGGTCAACGTCTTCGTATGGCCCCCATACAAAGGTACCTCCCGATATTCGGTATTTTAATGATTTTAGCGACATTATTCACCGGGATTGAGTCAAATTTGGTATTTGAAGTTCGCAATGAATACTAAATCCTAGGACAGAAAATTATTTGTGCAGGTCCACGCCTTCGTATAGCCCCCATATTATAGTACCTCCCGATAATCGGTATTTTGATGACTGTGGTTACATTATTCACCAATTTTTTTTCTAAGTTTCGCATTTGAATATTGCAATGGCTTATGAAAAAATATTACCTATGCAGGTCAATGTCGTCGTATTGACCCTAATATAACGGCTACATTCGGTATTTCTAAAATTTTAACGGATTTTATTGTTTTTGAGAATTGCCAAATTCGTTCCAAATGTTGGAGGGTATTCCAAGTTCGGCCCGACCGAACTTACAGCTTTTTTACTTGTTATGTTTAACTTTTTTTATCAACCTTCTTGTGGTTCAATTGTAATATCAAAATACAATTCGGCTGGAAATACATAAAGAGCATATTTGGCTGGCTTAAGTCATCGGCTGGCTTCTTCGTAAATGAACAAAGGAGTTTTAGGTTGACCTAGTTCGATTTTGGCCCTAGGCTCCTTTGTTCATTTCCGAAGAAGCCAGCCGATGACTTAAGCCAGCCAAATATGCTCTTTATGTATTTCCAGCCTTCTTGCTTGTGTTCGCATATTCTTCTTCTTCTATATCTATAAAAGAGGAAAGTGTTAGTATGTTTGTTTGTAATTTATGGACTCCAAATCCGCTGCACAGATTTCCCTGAAAATTACCAAGTATACTACAACAACGCCTGACAGTAACATATGTTTTATACAATTTTGAAATTCCTGGCGATATAGCATCATCAGAATCGTAATCAGAATTCGTCGATTACAGATGCAGTCTCCAAAATTGGGATGCATAATGGAATTTGGAACAAGAATAAATTTGCCAAATTATATTTAAATCGGTTCAGATTTGAATTGTCCAGCAACATCTTTCTGAAATATTAAGGTAGGTAGGTAAGGTTTTATTCTCTTTTGTAAGGAAAATGCGAAAAGTAAACAGACGGTATTCCTGCAGAAACTTGCAACTAATCAGCTGATTTGTCAAAACAAACCTATTTGTATCCCATTAAAAGAATTAAAGGAAAGGAAGTAGCACCAATTTACAAGTTTTATAAATAAAAATAAATTAGCAATAACATAAAAATATGAGCATTAAAAGAATGATAAATTTTCCTCGGAATCCTTTAAACGTGTTGCTAATGGCATTTGCCTAAAAATGTTGGAAATAGTCTTTTTTATTTTTTTATTACATATTAATATTTACGTTTTTCACATTTTCTAAAGTTGTTCTCCAAAAACAATTAGTCTTGCTAATTCCAAAAGAGCATATTTTCAAATTTGAAGCACAAAAAGAAATAAACAAACAATAGAAAACATCTGATTGAATGAGAAGAAAAAGAGTTGCAAGTGTTTGCAGGAAGAAATTTGGCCAGCAAGAATTTGCAAACTCTCAAAATGTCTCTCTCCGACCGCTCTCTTCCAGTAACAATTTGTAACAATTGTTACGAATTTGAGGGTAACCAGACATACCTAATGTATATGTTTTTTACAAAATGAGGGCACCAAAAGAAACAAAATAGGAAGTAGCTTTATTCCATGGTAGAAGAATACAGGTAGATGATGCATCGACGCTTGGGAATATTTATGATTTAAAAATGTTTAAATGCTTTTCCAAAAATAAGTCGATTTGTAAATGTTGTCTTATACGACGCCAATCGTAGGTTTAACAGCTAGCATCTGTATCGATGCGACTACCTGTACTCTTCTGCCATGCTTTATTCTACCTCCTGTTATTGTACAATATTCCTACAGACGGTGCAATATTCTTACAGTCCAAAGCAACTGATTTTAAATTTTTTATTTCGAATATCATCCCATTCCATAGAAAAACATGTGTTCATGACAAACTCCTGTATTTACGTTTGTCCCACAAACGCACCACTTGTACGAGTCTTGGGTGAGAATACATAAAACGCTTTTTTGACAGGCTTAAGCCATCGGTTGGCTTCTATAGCGTATGGTAAATAGTATAAATTAGGGTCAGAAATCGAACTAAGTCAACCTAAAACTCCTCTCTTATTTTACGAGAAGCAGAAGAATAGTAGAATACAGGTAGAAGCATTAACTTTCGGAAACATTGATATGTCAAAAATTGTTAAATGTTTCTTTAAAAATAAGTTCCAATACGACGCCAATCGGAGATTGTTATGATATGCATTTTTTAGCAATTTTTACAAACTTGAATAATTTTTCATTCAAAAATTGCAATTCCAAAATGGTTTGATAGTTCAGCAGCTGTGCCGATGCGACAACCCGTATTCTTTTACCATGCTTTTAAATCGCTTTTTTGACTGGCTTAAGTCAACGGCTGGCTTCTTCGGAAAAGAACAAAGGAGCGTAGGGTCAGAATCGATCTAAGTCAACCTAAAACTCCTCCAATGAAATCTTGTTTTTATTTTTGACCTGGGCCTCAATTCTTGTTCTAGGAAAATGTAAAATGAAATCTTGTACAGAAAAAAAGATATGACAAACGTAAAAAAATATAAAGGAAATACTTTTCATTTCAGGTTTTCTTAAAACGAGAATCCAGCGCTGTTGCATAAAAGTTCTTATAACTTTATTTTGGCTTGAGATCAGTTCAAAAATCATTGTATTATTTGTAATAAAGGGTGATTTTTTTGAGGTTAGGATTTTCATGCATTAGTATTTGACAGATCACGTGGGATTTCAGACATGGTGTCAAAGAGAAAGATGCTCAGTATGCTTTGACATTTCATCATGAATAGACTTACTAACGAGCAACGCTTGCAAATCATTGAATTTTATTACCAAAATCAGTGTTCGGTTCGAAATGTGTTTCGCGCTTTACGTCCGATTTATGGTCTACATAATCGACCAAGTGAGCAAACAATTAATGCGATTGTGACCAGGTTTCGCACTCAGTTTGCTTTATAGGACATTAAACCAACCACACGAATGCGTACAGTGCGTACAGAAGAGAATATTGCGTCTGTTTCTGAGAGTGTTGCTGAAGACCGTGAAATGTCGATTCGTCGCCGTTCGCAGCAATTGGGTTTGTGTTATTCGACCACATGGAAGATTTTACGCAAAGATCTTGGTGTAAAACCGTATAAAATACAGCTCGTGCAAGAACTGAAGCCGAACGATCTGCCACAACGTCGAATTTTCAGTGAATGGGCCCTGAAAAGTTGGCAGAAAATCCGCTTTTTTTATCCACAAATTTTGTTCAGCAATGAGGCTCATTTCTGGTTGAATGGCTACGTAAATAAGCAAAATTGCCGCATTTGGAGTGAAGAGCAACCAGAAGCCGTTCAATAACTGCCCATGCATCCCGAAAAATGCACTGTTTGGTGTGGTTTGTACGCTGGTGGAATCATTGGACCGTACTTTTTCAAAGATGCTGTTGGATGCAACGTTACGGTGAATGGCGATCGCTATCGTTCGATGCTAACAAACTTTTTGTTGCCAAAAATGGAAGAACTGAACTTGGTTGACATGTGGTTTCAACAAGATGGCGCTACATGCCACACAGCTCGCGATTCTATGGCCATTTTGAGGGAAAACTTCGGAGAACAATTCATCTCAAGAAATGGACCGGTAAGTTGGACACCAAGATCATGCGATTTGACGCCTTTAGACTATTTTTTGTGGGGCTACGTCAAGTCTAAAGTCTACAGAAATAAGCCAGCAACTATTCCAGCTTTGGAAGACAACATTTCCGAAGAAATTCGGGCTATTCCGGCCGAAATGCTCGAAAAAGTTGCCCAAAATTGGACTTTCCGAATGGACCACCTAAGACGCAGCCGCGGTCAACATTTAAATGAAATTATCTTCAAAAAGTAAATGTCATGGACCAATCTAACGTTTCAAATAAAGAACCGATGAGATTTTGCAAATTTTATGCGTTTTTTTTTTTTTTTTTTAAGTTATCAAGCTCTTAACAAATCACTCTTTATTTTAATTATACCCTACATTTGTGCATTTGTTTGTAACATCGAGAAGGAAGCGAGATAGACCTATAGTTACTTTTGAGGATCTCCATAGAATCACTTTCTGAGTTGATTTATGCATGTCAGTCCGTCTGTCCATGTATGATTGAGTAGGCTTGATCACACACAGTGGAAATACAATCAAACTCAATCAGTCGGTCAGATGCAACATGTTCATTCGAGTTACTCAAGCCAAACGAAAAAGTTGTGATCAAACATGTATTGATCGAAGTTTTGTGATCGTAATCAAACAGCTCACATGAGTTATTTGTTTACGAACTTATGATGAATTGTTCATAACGGGTCGATCATCTATGATGAGTCTGATCAGTTTTATTTATCCTAGTTAAGTGAGTGATTTGATTTGATTAAAACACAAATGTTCGAATTTGAGCGAAATCATGATTGTAATTTTACTAAGGATTTCATAACTAAAAGATGTCCCTATTAAAGAAATTGGTACAAATTATATTTAATAAGCCTACAATTTTTCATTTTATTTGGGTTTTTGGTATGCTAGACTTCAGTAACTTATTTGATAAAAAAACAAGTAAAAAAACATTAAGTTCGGCCGGGCCAAACTTTTAATACCCTCCACCTTAGGGTAAAAGAAACATTAGAAGAAATGTGGCAAAAACCATTAAAATGCCGATTATGGGGAGGTACCGTTATATGGGGGCTATACCAAAACGTGGACCTATAATTACAATGTTTCGCCACCGGAGCTGGAACCCATTATGACCCACAAATACCAATTTTTAGACAAATCAGTGAAAAAATGTGGCAAAAACCATCAAAATACCGAATATCGGGAGGTACCGTTATATGGGGGCTATATCAAATCATGGACCCATACATGCAATGTTTCGCCACCGAAGCTGGAACCAATTATGACAAACAAATACCAATTTTCGAACAAATCCCTGAAAAAATGTGGCAAAAATCATCAAATTACCGAATATCGGGAGGTACCGTTATATGGGGGCTATACCAAAACGTGGACCTATAATTACAATGTTTCGCCACCGGAGCTGGAACCCATTATGACCAACAAATACCGATTTTCAGACAAATCCGTGAAAAAATGTGGTAAAAAAACTAAAATACTAAATATCGGGAGGTACCTTTATATGGGGGCTATACCACAACGTAGACCTATACATGCAATGTTTTGCCACACGCTCAGGGACCCGCTATGACCTACAAATACCAATTTTAAGACAAATCCGTGAAAAAATGTGGCATAAATCATCAAAATACCGAATATCGGGAGGTACCGTTATATGGGGACTATACCAAATTATGGACCCATACATGCAATGTTCCGCCACCGGAGCTGGAAACCATTATGACCCACAAATACCAATTTTTAGACAAATCGGTGAAAAAATGTGGTAAAAAAAACTAAAATACTAAATATCGGGAGGTACCTTTATATGGGGGCTATATCACAACGTGGACCTATACATGCAATGTTTTGCCACACGCTCAGGGACCCGCAATGACCAACAAATACCAATTTTAAGACAAATCCGTGAAAAAATGTGGCATAAATCATCAAAATACCGAATATCGGGAGGTACCGTTATATGGGGACTATACCAGAACGTGGACCGATATATCTGATTTTCAATACCAACCATCCTAGACACAATGCAAATAGCTCTGCTAAATTTTGGAGCTCTACGTCAAATAATGTGGGCTGTATCGTGATTTCAACAGACAGACAGACGGACATCGTTAAATCGACTTAGAATTTTATGCTGATTATGAATATATATACTTTATGGGGTCTAAAACGAATATTTAGGGATGTTACAAACGGAATGACAAAGTTAATATACCCTCCTTTCCAAGGTGGAGGGTATAAAAAAACAAAATTAAATTTTTTAATAATGAAACACATCATTGGTTTTTAGAAAACTAAAAATGTTTAAATATTTTTTTATTTTACAATATTGGTCAAGATTTTTCACAAACTTCGACCATTTCGTTTACCTACCCCTGTGTAGTTTCTACTTGCAACAATTTCGGTCGCACTATCACAATATTCTTCCATTTCAAATATTAAAAAAGTCAAAATAAACTGTCCCAACTTGATTAAATGGTTGAATAAACAATGTCGCTGAGCGAACTCGATTCAAAGAAGACAATCACGGTTGTGATTGCTCATTTACATTCATGTGTTCGATCAACTCATGTTGCTGAACACATCAAACCGTCTCGAACGCTCATGTTTGATTGTGAGTGAAGTGATTCAAACTGAGCGTTCGATTCGATCAGAAGCGAAAACGGTCATTTCATTCAGATCAAACTAAACGACTGCATCAACAAAAATCATGTAAGAAACCGAGTATGCTTGAATTTTTGCATACTCGTTGCAGCCCTCTGATTCTTGTGAACAAAATGCAGGTCGCATTTATTATCCAATTGAGATGCAATTTCGCACAAAGCTTTTGTTTGGTCCAAGGACGAACTCTATTGAAATTGGAGATAATCAGTAAAAATTTAGATATTGCTCCCATATATATCTTCGTTCTATTTGTCTTTTATTGTGCACCAAACGTGTAATAACAGCCCGAATAGTATGGAATTTTGCACATACAATCAATTTAGGCCTGAAAATAAGTATACCAAATTTGATCGAAATCGGTTCAGATATAGCTAGAGCTCCCATATATATGTTTCATTCGATTTGTTATTTTTGTCCTCCGCAGCCGTAATATGCACTCTGTAACAACAATATTTGGGAAAATATATAAAATATAGCTCAGAAACACCCTTGCTAAATTTTATCGAGATCGGTTCAGATTTGGATATAGCTCCCATATATAACTTCGTCCGATTTACCTTTGATTGTGCACCAAACGTCTAATATTTAAAATTTGGCACTTACGAACGAATTGAGTCCAGAAGCTAGTATGTCAAATTTGGTGAAGATCGGTTCTGATATGGCTATAGATCCCATATATATTGTTCATCCGATTTCTAGTATTTGTTACCCAAATATATCAAATACAGCTCAGAAATATTTTTGCCAAATTTTATCGAGATCGGTTCAGATTTGGATATAGCTCCCATATATATCTGATTTCAAATTATTTTTGCACCAAATGGGCAATACAATCATATGGCATCTCTGAGAAGAAACCGACCCGAACTATATCCGATGGTTTTTTCGACAGAATATTTTTTGAACACGTTAAAAAAAGTTAACGGCGTCAAAATGACTACCTAAAGCCGGCCTCGAGTTGAAGGAACTTACTCCCCCGGTTCATTTAATGAATGTGGCCAGCAGTTCGATTTCCTCATGTCTCATTCGTAAACAACAGAGGTCCCTCGGGTTATGCATTCCACTCATTCGTAAACAACAGAGGTCCCTCGGGGATTTTGCTTTCTCGTTCTTTTTTATCGGGCATTTCTTTTTGATTTCTTATTTGTTCCGTTGGGGACGTGTTTCATTTTGGTTTCCCACGCGTTCATTCGATTTGCTCTTCACAACCGAATAAAGCGCGCGCACAAGCAGATTGGTTTGGTTGGTTGGTTTTTGTGAGTTTTGTGAAATTGGAAATTGGAAGGAATTGGACACATTGGACATTGGTTGAACCAACCTATATTGGAAAGCGTAAGCTATAAGACACAGTGAGTATTTTGAGATTTTAGAAGGTATTTGGCATCTAGCTTCTGGTAGAAGCTTCAATGTTAGTAGCGAATCGAACCTACAGTTAATGTATACTTCTAAGGATTTGGCTGGAAAAAAGGATCAGGGATCACGTACGTACAGGTACGTGAACCTATATTGACATTTTTGAAATGTATTTAGTCTTTACGTTAAAGACTTTAAAGACTAAACGACCAGCAAAGCGGAATCTATGCTGCAACAGTTTTTGCTGCAATGACGGTTTTTGCATTGGCAACATTGCCATGGCATCTGTCCTTCAAGCTGACTTGAGTAATTAAGGGTCCTTTCTCATAGAATGCCCGCGCTGTTTCGACATCATCTATTCAGTTTCGCCACCATATAATTCGGTACTTTGTGCTGTAAGTGTGAAGTTAAGGGGTGCTGTCGTTGAGGAAGGTGCTGTCGTGAAGGTGAATACACCGTAAGAAATATTGGAGCACAAATATAATCTTACTACACATTCGGAACAAATATTTCCGAATTTAAATTTTAAGATTTTTCTTTTTTGATTGAATTCTATTTGACAAAATACGAATTCACATGTTAGGAATAGAAAATTAAATTATTTCATATTGTTAGACAAATTTATCAAATTTTATTGTCCTTCCAAATTAGAGACATTTTCATATCCCTTGATTTCTCTGAAATTATATGTAGATTCTTAGTCAATATTAGGGAAAATAACAGGATGTGATGTTTGTAATGACATAATATTTTAGGACCCAACGCAGGATATGCGTTTCTGATCAGCATAAAATTCTATAACTATTTGCGTATGTCAGCCTGTGGTAATCGGTATTAATTTTTAAAGGATCAACTTAGATGGTTAGGGTGTTAAGTCCGAAGTTATTATTTGTGTTTAATAATTTTTTTTTTAATTTTTTTAATAAAAATTATATAAAATTTAAAATTTTTGAAAATGTCAACTTATATATTGTCTGATCAAAATATTAATTTTTAACAACGAAGTTGTTTTTAAAACTATTTTGTTATTTCAAAACACATATAATCACAAAAATTTTTTGAGGCTCTCTGCCTTGCCCTGCATTATACAAAGGATTGACATGCCAGCCATTTTGGATTGTTTCGTCAATAACAACGAAATGTGAAGAACGATTGCGCTTTGCCTATGTGTCTATCTCGTTTCCCTTTGCCTGATACAAACAAATGCACAAAGACATAATACCCTGACCACCTTGTGGTGTAGGGTATATAAAAGTTATTCAACAAATTATTGCAATGCTTGGGAACATTGATATGTCAAAATTATGTCGTTGTTTTCTAATACGACGCAAATTGGAGGTTGTTATGACAAATATCAACAATTTTTTGTTTAACATTTTTAATTTCAAATTCGGTTTGACGGTTCATTGTCCCAGCATCTGCGTCGATGCGTCTACCTGTGTATTTTTCTACCATGTGTTATACATACAAAAAATGACAACAAACATATTCGCCACAAAATTCTTCTGTCAAGGCGAAAATATTTATTTTCGCCTCAAGCATGAATTTTGACATTTCATCTGGTAAAATAACAGCTGTTTTTAGATTAATTCGCTTGAAGGAAGACCTTATAATTGGGCCATGTTTTTAAGTGAGAGGATTTAAGTTAGGGAAAACTTACCAACAACAAGTTAGCAATTTTTGTAGAATTCCAACTCTTCCCTTGTTGATCTGACTGGAGCAGTCGTTTGCAATGTTCCTTAGATTTGCATTTCTAATTTGTTTTCTGGCGGTACCTGTTCGATTGGATTGCGGCTGCAACAAGTTGGAAAGGGGCGATTCAACAGAGAAACCCAAAGCTTCCAGCAAGGATTTCATTGATAGTATCAAAGCGGAGAATGATGTTGGATCGAATGAAGACTCAAAGGTATGCCAACAAAAGGCAAGGAAAAATAATCAACAATATCGAGACTATTATCCGGAACCCAACTACGAGGACATGGCTCTTATACCCGGTGGAAAGTATCTGATTGGTACCGATGAACCGCATTTTCCAGAAGATCATGAATCTCCCGAAAGATTAGTGGAAATCAAGGACTTTTATATGGATAAATACGAAGTGTCCAATCAAAAGTTCAGAGAATTTGTAAAGGCAACCAAGTATGTAACAGAAGCGGAGAAATTTGGTGATAGTTTCCTCTTCAAGAGTTTATTGAGCGACGAGGAGCAAACGGAATGGGAAGACTATCGTGTAGCTGCTGCCACCTGGTGGTATAAAGTAAAAGGTATTACATGGCGACATCCTCTTGGACGAGGTACTAATCTCAAGGAATTAGAAAATCATCCTGTGACACATGTATCATGGAATGATGCAGTTGCCTATTGCAAATGGGCAAACAAAAGATTGCCAACAGAAGCCGAATGGGAGGTGGCATGTCGAGGTGGCAAGAAGAGAAAACTATTCCCCTGGGGAAATAAGCTAATGCCAAAGGGAGAACACTGGTAAGTTTTCGCTTAAGTATGAATATAGGTAGATAATCTGGGGGAACAATCCTTGTTTAAACAAGTTAAAAAGTATCTGTCGGTTTTGCCGACCGATGTATACCCTCAGCCAATGTACGATTATTTAAAAATATTTTGACCTCTGTTATGAATATTCAAATGTTAAACCCCTTATGGAGTAGGTTCGGAAGGAATATATATATATATAGGAGTGGATCGATATTGTTCATTTTCGTACTTGACGTAGCACTAATATTAGGATTCGCAAAGTTGGAGCAAAATCGGATTATCCTTTCTCTTTCTGTGCAAAAAATTATTTTCTTTGAAAATTTTGACATTTTGTGCGGGAGGTACCAGAAGGAGTGGCCCGATATTGCCGATCTCCGACCACGATCTAAGTTTGACAATAAAATTACGATGTACGAACTTTGTATAAAATCGGATACTACCTTCGAAAGTTATCGTGCGCACCAGCCAGACAGACGGACGGACGGACATCGCTAGATCGACTTCAAATGTTCTGAAACGGATTCGGTACGAAGAGACCTAGGGTATAAAACCGTTATTTCCATGAGGCACGTTTTGGCCGTATCAAATGATATATACCCTCTGTAGCCATATGATTGAAGGTATAAAAAGGTGAAATGAAAATTATTTCCAGTTTCGCATTTCTGAAGCGAGGATCATAAGTTCATTTCGTATTGGATTGGCATGACCAAAGGGACCGAAATCATATCTGGTCTACATAAAAATATATGAATATGTTTACATGAAGTGCTCGAAAATATATACCCATATATAAATGATTCAATATAATGACTACTCTCTGCAATATCAAACCTTAACTCTAAGAAATAACAAACAAAACTGACTAATAAAATCCCATATCATCAATTCCAGGCTAAATATTTGGCAAGGTGAATTCCCTGATGGCAATACAAAAGAAGACGGCTATGAAACTACTTGTCCAGTTGATAAATTTCCCCAGAATGTTTATGGGCTACACAACATTGTGGGTAATGTATGGGAATGGACCCAAGATCTGTGGACAGAAGGTGATACCAGTCCAAATCCTGGCCGTGTGAAAAAGGGTGGATCCTATCTTTGTCACAAATCATATTGTTACCGTTATCGCTGTGCAGCACGCTCCCAGAATACTGCAGACAGCTCAGCAGGAAATTTAGGTTTCCGTTGTGCCAAGGACATGGCGTAATATGTAGTATTTACATAAATATAAATATGTGATACATACTTTTATTTTATACAATTAAAAATAACTTTATACAATAAAGCGTTGTTTTAGGAAAATAAAACAATTCGTGTTTGTTTAGTTCATATTTTGTTTTGCCAATTCGGGATTAAATTGACTGTTGTATTTCTGTACCACACGTGGCGTGGTTGGTGGTTCTGTTGTTGCCTTCGCTTCCTTGGGTGCAAGTAAGGCATCTTGTCGAGCCTTTTCAATCATTTCCCTACGCAATCGTTCTTTTCTTAATTGCTCCAATTTTAGACGTTTCTGAATGGCTTCTTCCTCCGGACTTTCTTTGGACTTCTTTCTTTTATGTTTGTGATTTCTGTCATGTTTCTTGTGTTTTTCCTTTTTATGCTTTTTACGTTCTTTTTTATGTTTCTTATGTCGTTTGGAATCACGTTCCTCCTCTTTGTGCGCTGCTGGAATATGTACTGGTGTGGGGCTTCTTGTGCGTTTATTTGCTGTATTTATTTCCGTCTTGGGTTCCGGGGGCAAAACGGCTTTAATAAATGTCAAAGGATCCTGGTTGTGTTTGGTTTTCAAATCTTTTTCAACTGTTTCCCTCTCCTCTCCCACATCAAGTCTTTTGGGTGCAACTTCATACCAACTCTTCAAGCGCAGTGCCTCATTTGTGTCCTGCCCCAGATACGTAAGGTAGCCAATTTTCTTTTCATACTTTTCTTGTTCTTCCTTCTTTTCACGTTCCAAGTCTTTATTGGTGGTTTTGACGTGGGCTTTATAGTCGGCAAAGAGATTGACATGTTGTTCACTTGTTGAGGCTTCTACTTCTTGTGTAGATGGAACTTCTTCGCGGTGCCTTTCGGGGAGCCCTGACTTTGTTCGTAAAAAATTGATACGGGCTTCACTTTCCTGAAAAAGAAGAAAACGATTTCAAATGTCTCTACAAATGCTTTCTGACCAGTTAATACCTACAGCAAATTCTAACTTTTCCTGTTTTTTACGTTCTTCTTCGCGGGCAGCAGCCTCATCTCGCCGCACCCGCGCTATATTGTCTTTCGTCCTGACATGCCATCTCTTTTTTGGTAAAATATTCATTTTTGTAACTGGCTTCCGCGAACTTTTCAAAGTTAGTAGATTCTTGCAGGTTCTGGAACAGACCTATAATGAGTAAAGGGCAATTCGTCCTGGACTTTATTGCAGAACAGAGAGAATGCGCCCGTGGGAAACCAAAATGAAAGACGTCCCCAGCGAAACGAATAAGAAATCAAATAAAAAAGAACGAGAAAGCAAAATCCCCGAGGGACCTCTGTTGTTTACGAATGAGTGGAATGCATAACCCGAGGGACCTCTGTTGTTTACGAATGAGACATGAGGAAATCGAACACATTCACTAAAAGAGCACGGAACTAGCTACAAATTAAATTTGACCCTCGGCAATTTCATGTTGCCAGATTGGTGAACAAAAAAGGGAAATATGCAAATCATGGACGCATCGACACAGCTGCTGAGACAATGAACTGTCAAACCTATGTTAAAATTGAAAATGTTGAATGAAAAATTATTTAAATTTGTAAAAATTATTGAAGAACGCGAATTATAATAACCTACGAATGGCGTAGTATAAGAAACATTTAAAAACTACTTATATTTGAAAAAACATATTTAACATTTTGACATATCAATGTTCCTAAGCTTTTATGTACCTACTTGTATTCTTCTACCATGATACAAATAATGTAAGGTAGTTTACACACCATTGAACCCAGTTCTATTCTTCTAATATATGATGCCATATTTCAATGAGACAATATGTCGACGTTGCCACATTTTCGGGAAGTTTCCCTTTTTGCGGATTTATTCGGGTTTGCAATTATTGGGTCTATTACTATTTAAGAAACCAATAACTCGAGGACTATTTTCTAAGTTGTTAAAATGTTTTTTGTTATTGTAACAAAAATAAATCTAACAAATGAAGTCTTGGAAAAATTAAGTACGAGAATAGTTGTTTAAATAAAGGCGAGAGTACATAAAAAACTTTTTTGAAATTGTATTTCCTACCAAAAACCCTTTTTTATCTAAAAGTGGTGTCAATAAAACACATAAAAACTTTAAGATTCACTTTCTTTAATTTCTTCGTTTTTTATTAAACGTAACATTTTTTATTTATTAAAATTAATTTTAAATGTCTTGTTAAAAAAGAAAAAATACTAATAATAAAAATACACATTTTCAAGATGTTCCTTAAGAGTAACTATCATAATTTGTTTGTTTCTAAGTTATTTACATGTATTACCTGGATATAATTTTTTTTTTTTTTTTGTTAAAATAATGCATTTTTGCAATTTGCAAATCATAAATTGAGATAATTTAATGTTGCATCACAATTTGTTGAATTTACATATATACTTGTATATATATAATTTTTTTTTTTCATTTTTGATAAGAAACAAGCAATATTATATTCAGCTTTTATGTATATATGACAAAAATTCGCAAAGAAACCTATGAACATTATTAAAGTAAATCACACCCAATGCCGCAGTGCCAAAATAAAAACTTTCATGTGAACAGTAATGGTATAAAAATAATAAAAAAAAAATAAAGTACCTTTAGATCATCTTATATATTTTCTCCTGTAGAGGTTTTTTTTTCTGCTTCAAAATTCCATTCAATTTTTTTTTTTTTTGGTTTAATATTTCTTGATTGTAGAATTAATACTTACTTGTACATTCCAAATTGACATTTGGAGATATAATTCGTTTCGAAATCTATATATCATACATTTAAGATTCATGTTTTGACGAAGAAGATTTAAAAAAAGACTTTCAGCATGTCACAAAAATGAATTCGGTACGAAAGTGATTTTAATTTCGTATTTAGCATCTTCAGAAAATGCTCAGCTCACGAGCCATTGACGCGGGTTTCGATCAAGTCGCTTGTTTACTTTTCGAACCATTTCTGCTGATGATGCTGTTTTCTACCGTTCACTTCCTTGACGTCGGGCTACGCTACCAGCTACCACGGTAACGAGCGATGGTACGAGACACAAAAGATTTAATCACATTTAAATGCTGGAGTTCTCTAACGATAGCAACTTGTGGTTTTCCAGCCAAATATAAAGAAATCACACTATCAAGCTTGAATTCCATCACTAATAACTTTTTTTCTGTAAACAATATTAGCAAATGAGCTGTCACTGGAATAATTTTAACAGCGGTCGGAGGAGTGACTTAGAAATGGCAGCCAGCAGTCTGAAGTTGATTGCAGTTTTTTTATCTCACCCTGTATTCTCGCCTTAATTTTCACATAAAAATTACTTCAAACAATTAAGAATATGTAATTTAAAAGAGTAAACCTTTTGAAAATTGTGAAGGAACATGGGTGAAATATGAAAATTACAATAACCATTAGCATCCAGTGGTTTGCAAGACATGCAGCAACATTATGAATGAAATTAAATGCATTGTTAGAGAATGAAAAACAGGATATTAAGCGAAAATTATTATTTCAAATTGGGAGGGAATTTGAATGTTGCAGTAATTTAGAACAAAAAGAAGAAGAAGAAGGCCTAAAAATTGCATTTGCAGTAGTAGAAGAGAAAATAAACAAAAGAGTTTTGTGGATTGTTTGTTTTACTATTTGTTAACAATAACAAAATATATTTTTATATATATTTAATATTTCTGATTTGTTTTATATATTTAATGTATAAAAATATAAGCGTTTAGCATTAAAATAAGTTTTATTTTACTTTTTTTGTTTTTGTTTTGTTTAAATTAATTTTATGTTGTGGTTCGTGGTTGTTTGCTATCTTAGGTTTGTTTGCTTTGCTGCTCTATGTAGTTGTTTTGTTGTAGGGTTTCGAAAACTTGTTGTTATTAAATTTATTTATTATTATAAAATAAAATTATTTTGTAATTATATAAATAATATAATGTGGTGATTAAAATAAACATTAACAAAAAAAGGAAAAGAAATGCGCAAAATATTTTTTATATTTATTTTCTTGTTTCTTTCTTTCTTTTTTTGAATATAATTGTATATATTTTTATAAAATACAGTGTAAAAATAATTGTTGTTTTTCGATAAAGAACCAAACATAACTAAAGTTTTTGTTTTTGTAAAAATGGAAACTAAACTTCAAAAAATTAACAAAAATTTTACAAAATCACCTCGTTTTTTTTAAATACATATGGAAATTTACAACTTCAGCAAAAGAAATAGAGATAACGGTAAAATCAACATTTTCATTAACTGAAAATACGAAATCCAAAGAAAAAAAAAAGAAAATAGTGAATAAAAACAACGGTCGCCTAATAAAATAGATTAATAATAAAAGAACAATTCACAAAATGCAGATTTTTTTGATGAATAATTGCAATAAAAATTTCGGGGCAAAGAGAAAACAGAAAAAAAGAAAACTACAAGTTAATTTTGATTCATTTACAAATGGAGAGGTTATAGTTTTACTCTTCTGTTTAAGTTTACTCTTTCAATTTGTGTAGTATTCAAATTTTCTAGAGTCTGTACTATATAATGCATTGTTTTCTTTTTTTTAAACACTTTATATTTTATAAAACATATGGACTGAAAATATTTGGAATCAAAATACAAACTTGTCTGCCACATACATATTTAAGTTGCACATTCGCTCTTGACAGATATTTTTAAAAATAAACAAAATATTTGATCCGTGACTTTTCAATCCATGTGTTTTCTAAATATTCTGTGTGTTTCTTTTCTAATTTTAATTGAGTTATAAAAAATTATTTTACACTGTAATTTGGATTTTATATATATTTTATGTTTTTTTTTTTTTTGAGTTTTTCTTTATAGGACCTTTTGTGAATTTTTTGATAGGATTACGTTTAATTGTGTTTTTAATAAAATTACAAATATTTCTTGAATTTTTTTGTAAATTTGAAAACCTGATTTTTATATATTATGAGAAATTTACAAATTGTTTTCCTTTACAGAGCCTTTAAAACTTTTTTCTTTTTTTTTGTATTAATATTAAATTTATTTAGATTTGTTTTAACTTTTCAGACTATAGTGATTTCTTACTTTCTGGTTGTTATTTGTTTTGTTTTAACACATTTCAGCTAATTTTTAAGTTTGGATGTATGTAATTAATAATAATTACCATTATAATTATTAAGAGCTAAAACAAAAAATTGTGTAAACATGTTTTTCTTCTTTGTGTGGAAACTTCTTGCTTTTTTGTTTTTATAATTTCAAATTATAAATACCTAAAGAATGCATGAAATGAAATTTAAATAAAAATATAATATGTGTTTGGTTTTTGGTGGTAAAGAAGAACAGGGGAAATTTGTTTGAAACTTTTAAGTGTGGGTGGATGGGGTTTGGTTCCTAAATGGGAATTACACATTATTGTTTCTTTTTTTAAAGAATTGAGTACAAATATTGTATGGGGTTTCTGTTTTGTTTTTACTATGTAAAATTAAACCAAATCAGAAAATAAATCGGTAAGACCTTCAGTTAGACCCAACGAGAAATTGTAATAAGACTCCAATGGTGGATTAATGGGCATCAGTGGTGGCAAGTCTACAAAATCTGTAATAGAAAAAAAAAAAAAGACAAAAACAAATTAATTAAACCATTTATTTTTTATAATTTTAGAAAAGAAAATATGAATTTAGTTTTTTTGGTGTTTTATTTGTGAGTTTATTGTGCTTTGAAATTCACGCCAGAGCTGAATCTCATGGTGCTACAAATTTTCAAATACAAAGTGTTATACACAACAAAAACATGCTATGATAATTTTTGTTTGTGGTATGTGCCATGCAGACCCACGAGAATTCAGTTCCAAAATGAATTTTTTTCTTTTAGTTACAAGTTCACATTGTTGTTATAATTTTCATGAGGTTGTTGTTGTAAATGATGTTAGTTTTTTTGTATATATTCACTCTTGTCTGCATGCTATTTCTTTCATGAATTTCATTTTTTAAACAATCAATTAAAAATATTTTGCTCTTAATGAATGATAGCGGGATATACATTGTCTGCTATGTTTTTGGATATCGAAAGGTGTATAATGATCTCAACTAATCTTTTATCCTGTTGACTTTGAAAACCATGTCTTGGAATATGAACTCAAAAAACCAATCTAAGATCGACAACTTAGAAGAATATTGAGACTCAATACATTTTCCATAACAAATAAATTGAGACTGCAACTTCGTACAGGTAATGCATAGGCACTACCCTGAGAGAAATCAAGGGGATGCAACATCGCCCAAAGAATCTGACCTACACTCTCGGAGAAGAGAAAAAAGTCACTACTGTCCTTGTCGAAACCTGACTTAAAACTTGTGGTGGATATAATCACAGGTCACTGCAAGGTGAGGGCAATGACCTCGAAATACTGTAGAATCTGTAAAGACGAAGAAAAATTTGAGACGATAGAACATATGCTCTGTCACTGTCATTAATGTGAAACAGAGGTTGGTGGGAAGAACAAGTGACACATGATTTGTCTTCGTTCTCTAACACTGACCCCACACTAATTCTTCAATTAGCCAGATTACTTAAATGGCTAAAGACGACACGACAAGATTTCTAGCCGTGAATCACCCTTATAACTATATATCCTTTCTTTCTTTCTTCCAATTTCTTATTAGGATGAACACCATGGACCAACAGTCTCCGAGTGGAGCGGTTACCAAAAGACAACCGCGCGTCCATTAGCCTAAACTAACCTAACCTAAATTGCTTTGAAGTGGAGTTATGGAACATCCAAATTCATATTCCACGCCAACGAAACACACCAAATCCAATAACCTGTTGTTGATCACATATGTGTAAGGTTACACCAAGCTCGCCGGGAGGAATATGCAAATATCCATTACTAAGTCAACGACCACGCTCTTTATCATACTATATTGCCTGCGAAGATGAGAACACAGCTGAATGTGCTGATAAATGGATATTTAATTCCAACCACGAATGACCCCAAGATCCTAGGGGTCACATTCGATAGTGACTAAATGAAAAGTAGGAACAAGGTCTTTAAAGTCGACAACAGTGGAGGTGCGGACAAAGATACCTTGTTGATCTCTTATGGTGGATGAAACTCCTTGATTCAGGAGAATATTGTTGGCATAAATTAGGAGAGTAAGATAACCCAATAATATGTAATAGGTTACATAAATTATTACAAAATATTGCTAAAAAAACAGTACAAGGTCAGATGAAAAAACTGCATTCAACTTCAGACTGCTGTCATTTCTAAGCCACTCGTCCGACAGCAGTTAAAATTATTTTAGTGACAGCTCATTATATTGTTTACAAGCGTACAAAAGCATTTTGGTGAGAATTTTCCAGAAAAAAAGTTATTCGTAATGGAATTCAAGCGTGATAGTGTGATTTCTTTTTATTGGCTGAAAAACCACAAGTGGCTATCGTTAGAGCACTCCAGCATTTGAATCTTAATAAATCTTTTATGTCTCGTACCATCGCTCGTTACCGTGATACTGGTAGCGTAACCCGACGTCAAGGAAGTGGACGGAAGAAAAAAGCAACATCAGCAGAAATGTTTCGAAAAGTAAAGAAGCGACTTGATCGAAACCCGCGTCGCAGTGGCCGAAAAATGGCTCGTGAGCTGAACATATCGCAATATTCCATTTGGCACATATTGCAAAATGAGCACGGGGTACAGTCATTGAAATTCCAAAAAGTGCAAGAACTTACACCTCAGCAGAAAGAAAATAAACGCAAAAGACCTAAAGAGTTGCTTCGCTTGGCCGAAAGTGGTGAACTGCCGAATTTGGTTTTTCCGATGAGAAAACATTCGTTGTCCAGCAGTTTGTAAACAGCAAAATGATCATGTTTACTTGCCAAAGAGGTCAGCTGAAACTCAAGCGCTGGCCATAGAGATGGTGTGGGCCGCAATAACAGCTGATGGTCGCTCTCCGCTCATGTTAATCGACAGTGGCATCAGAATAAATGACGAATATTATCGCGAAAATATTCTGGAGTAAATTGAAGCATTGGGCGCAAACTTTTTGGCCGCAGACTTTGGACATTCCAACAGGACGCAGCACCATCGCACCCAGCACGTGCCACCCAAGAATGGTTACAAAATTAGGTCCCTCGATTCATTTCCAGCGCACAATGGCCACCAAAATCTCCGGATACCAATCCGTTTGACTATTGTGTCTGGAGAATTTTGGAAAGCAAGGTTGGCACTAAAAAATACCAATATGTCGATCACCTCAAACAAGCGCTTCGCCGGGAATGGGCCAAAATACCGCAGAGCTACATTCAGGCAGCGTGTGACGGTTTCATTGGCCGTTTGAAGGTCATAATTCGTGCCAAAGATGACCAATTCGTACAAATCTAAACTTATTCTAAAATTTAATGTTATTTCAAACATTTTTGCTTTTATTCAATAAAATTTAAAAAAAATGTAAAAATTATTGCGTTTGACTTTGTTGCAGTTTTTTGTATTTATTCATCCTGTGTCGGGACTACACAAACGTGTAAACCGAATTTTAATCATCTAAATCGCGTTGTTGTCGCTGACGGAATTTTATGCCGATGAAGAATATAAACCTTAAAATGCCGTATTTGATTGTTTCAATTAGTTAGGAACAATAAATCAAATCAATAAAAAATTTACATACAAAAATACCGGATATTAAAACAAAAACTATCATTTCTTCTTCCATATTCTTCAGCCTCTAGCTGATATGGGGATATATATACATTTTCCAATAATATTAAGAATAATTGATTCCGCTTAAAATATATGTAATTTATTTATTTGAGCAAGCTGTAATATGGCTTTGATCAAATCATATCCCTTTTTAACGCAAACGAGGTTAATATTTTACATAACATTAGTTTAACACTTTAATTAATATTTATGCATTTACACGTTCAAGCACTTCACTCTTAATCCGCCGAATTCACTTTTACTAAACTTAATAACTAAAAGCAAAGTAACGGAAAACAAAAAAATCTTTAAAAAAAAATAAAATTCATTTTTTGGACTGAAATCTCGTTTTGGGGGTTTGGTGGTGTTTTGGAAAAAAATACAAAAACTCCAAAATAGAAAATAAATAAATTTTAAAGTAAAAATAATAGAAAATGATTGATGTAATGATGTTTTAGATAACAAATTATTAACACATTCTTTTTTTTTTTTTTTTTTGCTGTGAATCACTTTTGTCGTTTTTATGATTTGTTTCTGGTCGCTATGGAAATAATATTCGATTCGATGAAGTTTTTGAATGATGCTTTGGAATTTAAAACACGCTTAGCAAGAACTCAGACTGTGATGCGAATATGAAATATGATTAATTGAAGAATTGTTATCGGTGTTGTTGTTGCTGCAGCCATGAAACATAAATGCGTTTAAATACAAGTATACATTTTACATTTCTGGTGCTATCTATCTATAATCATATGTGATGATAAAGTAACGCAAATCACAGAAAGAGCTCCCGCCAAGCATGATTCCTTTTTGGTTTTCAAACATTTTTTTTTTGTTCTTTTTCGAATTGTCCTTGATGATTGTGATCCGCGTAAATTTGTATGAAATTGCACTGATAATATGAACGATTTGTATAAAAGAAGACATTTGGCCAATACTTACAGTCATAGGATGGGGGACTTAGATTTCCAGTATCCGAAATAAAAGCGTTCCGGACGCCAGTTGTGGTCGAGCTGCCACAATTCGAATTTGTTGTAACGATATGAGAAGATAGTTGTGGAGAATGTGTAATGTCAGCTGTCATTAGATGTTTTTGATGCTGCTCTTGGTGGTGGTGTTGCTCTTGTTCTTGCTGTTGTTGTTGGTGCTGTTGCTGCTGCTGCATAGTTTGACCGCCAGCGGACTTTGCTGTTTCTGTAGTTACTACTGTTCCTGATTCATAACTATCATGCTGTGGCGATGACACTGACGAAGAATTGGCCGACGAAGATGAAGTACTACTGCCCGTTATCAATGTCGCATGTTGCGAACTTGCCTGATGTTCAATTGCACAATCCGTAAAATTAACATCGTTACGTAAACCCGATTTCTTTGCCAGAGCATTGGTCGTTGAGATGTGTCCCGTGGGACAACTTGTAAGCGTAATAGTTTGATTGGAATCACTGCTGTCTGAATTGTTATCACCTGTTATGACCCGCTGCTGCTGCTGGACATTTGTTTGACACACCATCATGCCCACCGAAGAAACCATAGCATCCTCTATGCCAGTGTTTATTTTCTGCTGATACTGCAGCTGCTGTTGTTGTTGTTGTGACTGATGCAGCTCCTGAGTTTGCCTTCTTTGCTGGTAGTCCGTGGCCACTTGGGTAATAACCGGCCTTGTTATTGTCGGGAATATATTCAAGTCATCATAAGTCACAATGGCTGTCTGCTGACTTTGGGGATCCTGATCGTTATAGGCATGTAGTGCAGCTTCTTCAATGGATTTACTAAGATTACGTTGCGCAGAACGTAAATTTGTGGGATATGTAGATGAGGGTAAATCTAGAAAGGAGGAACATAAATTTAGTAAACACACAAAGAAATCTTGTCTTTCTCGTTTCTCCACTTACCTAATCTACGCCTTTTGTCCGCTTCCAGCATGGGCGTCAACTGGTCATCAATGATAGGATCATATTGATGCTTAATGGCTCCAAGTGTTTGACGTTGAGCCAATGCCGCTGTTTGACCGAAATTTGGCGAATTTTCCGGTGATGTGTCATGGCAAAGGAAAACGTTGATTTCACCATTGTTTTCAGCTTTAACGTGAATTTCACGTGGATTTAAAGAATCAGGTAACTGCAAAAGGTAAAAAACAAAATTTCCCTAATTAACAAAATGCTGATCGCATAGATGTTCTAGACGTCTTCGTGATAACAAGTTTGTGGTGTGAATGAGCGCTTCGCTTCGATATTGGCTATGTTGTGTACATGTTTCCGATTTGACTAAAACAGCGACAATAGCTAACAATATCAGCTAAATATCGGCACGATTTTTCGAATACTCAATCGTTTGGCCAGCCACTGTGTTCGGCAAAATGTCTGCGGATATATGTAAAGTTTCGTTTTAAAGACATTTTAATGTTTTTTCTATAGGATGTTGTTGCTAGACAAAAGTCATAGGATTTCGCACATTTAAACGGCGAGTTTATTTAAGTATATTCATGTGTACATATGTATGCTTGTCTGGCTCTCTGGCTGTCTGTCGCCGACTGTATAGAATCGACTACGCTATATTGCCATCTAAATATAATTCAAAAATTTATTCTATTTAAATCGAAAAAAGTCAACACTTTCGATGTAGCGTGCGTGTGTGGTGCGTTTGATGAATATTGCAGACAAACGTGTGTCAAGTTTATAAAAATACATTTGGCATGTGAAGAAAATAACAATCATTTATAAATCAAAACGGTTAAAAAAAATGTTCAAGAGACGGTATTGCCAAAATCTTTAGGATTCACAAAATGCAAGGAATTGCTTAGGTTTTTTTTCAACACCGAAGTACTGAAGTGCTTTATTTGTCAACCCTACTCCTCTTTTGTTACTTACCACAAGTTTTGCTTCTGGTGGCGCTTTAATAACTATAATTATTTGATCTTTAAACAGATCAACATTCAATAAATCACTATGCGTCACATATGCCAATTGATCGTTACGCGATATTTCGCCATGCAACTCATTGCGTATCTGATCAATCAACATATTCAACTCATTTTCCTTCTGTTCAAGACGTTCATTCTCCAGCTTTATGTCATTCGAGCGTTCTGAGGTCAACAGTGAATTGCCACATTTCCATTGAATGTTATTCTTCGATTTCTTCTCCAGGATACCGATGCCCTCCAGAACATTGGTAATGTCATAGATACGACGCTTTTGTACAGATAGTTTTTTGGATGCATCGTTCAGGTCCACCACACCATCGGCAGACTCTTGTAGAAGATCAACAAACTTTTTGGTAAGAATACCTAAGGATGTATCGGCACGATTGCCCTCGGGCGTACGTTTTGCCGATGTCGCCGAATTCGTATTGTTTTGAGAATTCGTAGGGGGAGTGCCAAGTTTATAGAAGAAATTTGGTACCGTCAACGCCGACGATGAGGAAGTCGACGAGGCGGACGAGGGTGGTCGGGCAGGTTGGGGCGAGGGTGTGGGGAAATTTAGAGCAATTTGTGGATGTTTGCCCGCACGCACAGTAGTGACATGATGCGTTTGCTGTTGGGGCGGCTGCTGTTGATAGGCGGTTTGGTGTTGCAGACTTTGTTTGGCCTGTTTTTTGGGATGGCTGTCATTCATGGGAATGCGCCGTTTCACCTGCAGGTATAATAGAAAGAATGGGGATGCTTGTAAATATTGAACAGATTCAATTCATGTAAAGCTCACCTTATAGTATTGTTTCATATCTGTCGATTTGTATTTCTGTTGTTGCGAGGCAGGTGATGTTGAATTTGAATTAGTGTTTGTGGTTGCTGGATTTGTGGATGACGTCACAGAGGAGGAAAGAGTCGACGATGACGTGGTAGATGACAAAATTGTTGCTTGCTGTTGGTCAACCACCACGGTATTGGAAACGACGTTAGGTGGCGTCATTGTGACACCATAACCATGATCTAACAAATGTGTAGCCAAAGTGGCGGTGGAACTTGTTGTTAGTTGTTGGTCGCTGGTGCTGGCGTTGCCGGTATTTGCTTGTGTCATAAAGACTCGTGCCACTGGCTTGGCTCTCGAGATTGTCGCTGCAACTTTGCCGACTCCTGTTGCCACATTATCGCCGAATAGTTTGCGTATCGGACCTGATGTTGTGTTTGTTGTTGGACCCACATTGCTGTTATTTGATTGGTAAGTAATGTTGGCATTGTTGGAGTTGGCTGCAGCAGTTGATGCGTTTGTTGTTGTATTACTGATAAAATAATTGGACATTTTATGTGTATATGATTTGTGGTTGAAGTGTTTTTCTTTTCTTTTTTTATGGTTTCCCTTTTTGTCCCAAAACAAGGGAACAACAATGCGTTTCTTCGGAGGGGGTGTTTGCTTTTTGTTGTTGTTTTCTTAAACCTTGTGTGTGGGAGTGTATTTAAGTTTGTGCTTAATGGAATTTTCGCCTACCCTCCCACATAAACGCTTTTGATTTGCTTGTTTTGTATGGTATATTAAAGAGATTTCTTAATATAATCTTATCATTCCGAATTGTTCCTTGCATTTGAAGCGATTTTAGTTTTTGAAACTAAATTCTATGTTTTCCTATACTTATATGGGTTTGTGTGTTTTTCTGCTTACAAAACAATTATTATCTTTATCTAAGATGGTTGGAGTTTTAACGTTGCAGGAGATGTGTAGCCACAGTTTGTTTGATAAGGAGAGCGAATTTCAATGTTACATCAACTTTGATTCTGGAAATGTATTTTACAGCCGCCGCTGATGGCTTTTCTGTTGATGTCTTGGTGATAGTCGAACTCGTTCAGCATTTCAGTTGAAAAAAATTTCGAAATTTTCCCTCAGCTTGGTAGCAACAATTGCGTGTTTGGAGTTACTTCGCTTTTCTTTTCCGCTTTCCAAAAAAAAGGTTTGCTTAAAATCTCTATTGATGTGCTTCAAATGTTGCAACTTGTACTGTGTAGATATTTTTTGGGGTTTGTAGTGTTTTTTTTATTTTCTTAAATTCTAAAGTTAGCACCTAAGGATTCCATTATATCTGTAAAGAGAGAGAGAGAGAAAGGAATATTATTAAAGAAACTTTCCGACATAATGATAATTTTACAAAATTTAAAGGAGTTGTAATGAGAATATGAAGTTTCACGACCGAGCGTTTTTTTTTTCAGAATATTTGTCACCACACTTTTGCTGTATATTTTGGTTGAATTTCCGACTCTTCCCTTCAATAAATTGAGAAGTCTCAATTTATGTAATTTTTTTAATCATGTTATTTAAAATATAAAATAAATTCAACCTTTGGGGTACGTTTGAGGGTTAATTGAAAAATTGGCACGAGGGGAAAAAACAAAATACGAGTCATTTCCGTTTTACAAACATGGGCTTTACAATGAAATATTAAATGTAAAAAGAACAGATGATTTGACAGCAAAACTTCATAAATGACATTTTATTAATGCAGCAATTGGATTGTAGGGGTAGTGGATTAGGTCAGCCATCGTTTTTTGTCTATATTAATGGTAATTGTGGAGCAATGACATAAATACAGAAATGGTTTCCTTTTAAAGGCACCGTTTGGGACCTTTACTTTCTTTTTTCTCATACCTCCCACTTGGGGATAAAGAACACTAAAATAACTCCGGAAATAGAGAATTAATTCGAAATATTGTACATATATAACGGTAGGCTATACATATATAGGAAAGACACATTAAATCCAACCAACCATTCAGATTACGTGATCAAACAAACGGTGTATAGGCTATGTGGTGGTGGTGGCGGCGACGAATAGCGATAAAAAAGAAAACAGTATGATTTGTACATAAACTGTAAAGTTTGGAAATGAAGAAGCAACAAACAACAACAAAGTGATAATAAAGCTAGAAATGCTATAGCTATATTGAAACACCCGCTACCTAATTTGTGTTATAATTAATGCAAACTAAATTGGATAAAAAATGTATTAAAAAAAGTTTTTTTGTTTCAGCTATGCCAAAATGTTTCTGTTGCTTTAGAATAATGTTCTTAAATTAGAACATTGCCCAAGCGAAGAACAGAACAAAACGTCATAGCTCACAGCATACCAGCAGCAGCAGCAGCAAACAGACACCTCTGATGATATGTTGTGTAAAATTTTTATTTGGTTCAAAGTGACATGCGATTTTGTGAGGGTATTTTTTATACGCTTCGTTTTCCTAGTCAATACAAAATGGTAGTTGTAGTCGTTGGATATTGGCGATGGCCTGGGTTAATATTGATAATGCTATAGAATTTTGAAAGGTGTTTTCTGATATTAAATGAGCGGAATTACTCTACTTAAGCCGGCAAGAACGTAGATTTCGTCATGTCTTGAATAGTAACAAAAAAAAATCATAATAATAGTCGTATTACATAGTAGAACCTAGATTCTTTCAGGAGTCAATACTATTGATATACGAATATTTTTCCAACATATTGTGGGAAGGAATGTAATCTATGGATTTGTCTATGGCGTGAGATTTGTGATCATCCATCAGTCCTAGTTGATATTTGCAACCAGTTGCTGTAATGTGTCGCATGTTCATGGTACCTCCTACCTCCTCGAAACAATACACGTTTTTTTTTTTTTTTTTTTTTTTTTTTTTTTTGAGCAAATTATCAGTAGCTAAAAATTTGATATGACATCACATAAAAATTACTCCACAGATATAGATATTATAATACCCACACAACTTGCTACTCTCCATACATAATTAAATAGACCACACTGAATTTACTATATCTCCATTTATTGTTATTAATAATTATTTGCTAAGAACGTCTTGAATTCCCAGGTAAGAAATCAATACTGCGGAAAATTATTTGACGTTCCTTTTATTGTAATTGAGAACGATAAAGAGATCTTGTTGTAGTAATCCTTTGCTCTCTTTAAGTCTATTACCCAATACTAGTATATTTTGTTGGGAGGAAAAAAACTAACAGCAACAACATCCGAAATTCTGTTTTCTTTCTATTTTCCGTTGTTGTGTTTTCTAAAAATCGGAGTTTATTGACACTTTTGCAATAACAAAACATTAAAAATAGATTAACCGATATTTTGTTTTGTTTTTGCTGTTGCTAGAGCATCAACCATATGACATATGCTTTTTAACAGTGATGCCAACTTTGTAAAAAAAATACTTGGCAACCTGGGGGTATCTTTTTTATACCGTCAATGTAAATTCATTTAAAAGGAGTATTGTTCTGTTTGTTGATATCCAGGAATTAAGTTGTAAAGTGGATAGGATATGATTATAAATTTGCCATAAATCACACCCATTTCAAGGTTACATAAATAAAATTACACATTATAAATAAGAACTCCAGCATTTAGCAGAAAGAGTATGAATAATTTAGTTTAGTTTTTTCTGTATGTAATGTTAAAAAATAAGTCGGTCTGTTTATTTTTCTAACAGTATTTACTTCTTATGGTTATTCTGCCAGATTTTGCATGGAAACTTCGTAACTAGTTATAGCGCTGCCACACGGAATGTTTTTTGCATATGAGTTGTCACTTTTAATATCCTTGCGAAGTTCGGTGTTTATGCCAAATTGACATTTTACATACGATTCATAATACACAATTGCATATGTTTTTTTATATCCTTGCACTACATTGTTATTTTTACATTTTATAACAAATTTAAATGTTTTATAAATCGATTTTGAACGCAAAATTTATTTTTTAAACAAAAGTTTTGTCAATTAATGAAATGTACAAAATCTACATCAAATATGTTTTATTAAGAAACAGCTGATTGGCCGGTGGAAACTTGATAACACTTGTTATTATCATGTAAATAGGCAAATAACATGTGTCTGTCACTAATCAAGACACACGCCTTTCCAATCAATAAATCATGGCGTATCAAATTTTAGTGATAAAATTACCAAATATCAAAGCAAGGCCTATTTAATAAGATCACACAGGAAGCGAATTTAGGCCCTCTTGCTGTCAAAAGTATTTTTGCAAGGACCCAATCAAAATAGGAAGCACTAACCGATGTTTCAGAATCTTTTAATTTTCACGTTGTAAAAGTATAAAGTATAAATTATTATTTTTTATTAACCAAAACTTTTGTTTTGACAGCAAGAGAAGAGTGCAGCTGTCCTTAACGTGTCACCTTGTAAATTCACCTTGGTATGAAATTAATAATTATCAGGGTTCTCATTCCGTTTTCACTATTATTTTTGGTGAATTTATGATGTGGCCAGACAGCTTTACAAGAGTGGGACAAAGATTTATTTTCTGTGATGCATTGAAATCATTTGGTAATAAAAATTAGTATTAAATTATAACCTCACACTCTATTCCTTTGAAATTTTAATTGTTTTCATTAAATTCGCCTTCGATTAGAGCACGCACAGTAATTATCACTCTTAAGAGTATTGTGATAAGTTTATCCAATATTAACAATCCTTATCAGGAAATTTCGCTCTACTGATGTTGTTGACTTGCTTGTAAATGAAAGACTAACCAAATTTTGAAAATTGGTCAACTAGCATCAAAATCTCAAACGAAAGCAAACCCCTGTCTAAGGTTTCATTAAATGAGAGAGTAAGAGAATTTTTGAAATATATACGGACCCCCACCAAATAAAACAAAAGAGAACGATGAAAAAATTCCAATTATCATCATGACCAGACACCTCCACAATATCAGTGCAAGAATGCGCTGATCTTACATAAAAAACAGGAGAATGAAACAAGTAAAAGTATACAAGGCTTAAGAAAAAAAAAACGCCGAGGGACAGAGAAAAACACAAGACTACGCAACTCCATAAACAGTAAGAACAACAAACACAATACCAACAATTAGGATGTTGTCCGTAATATCAGTTTTCTTGAAACGTTCGTTATAATGGCGACATAAAAATTAAGACAACGACTGGGCGACTAGTCCAGTCCACTGAAACATCGAAGAACAAGACATATAATTCATTGATGTAATCCGAGTTGATGACTACTTTGTGGAAACTTTAGACGACATTTAAGAGAATTCTATACATAAACTGCTACTGAAGAGGAGCTCCACCCACCCCTTATTTTTTTGCACACAATCATTTTGCTTTGGTTGACCCGAGTATATGGTGTCTCCAAAACGATTTGTATAGGGGTACTATCTTCAACCACATACATACACACATACTTTGTTGTTATTTTGATCTAACCAAACTCCTTCAGGTATGTAGGTGTTCTGTTAATTGACGACCGCTTGACAATGTTAATAAAATTGTTTTATTGCTGCTGTCTCGCTAAAAAAAGTAGCTGTAAAAAGTATAAAATTACATTTTCGTCTAAAATTTCATCAAAAAAAAGAAGAAAAAAAATACAATGTTAAGAAAAAACAGTTCATAAGAATTTTGTACGGATGCCGTAAATAGGTCAACAATATATTTTTAGTTAAGATTTTTTCAAATATTATGCAGTAAAATGTCCTTTTTAATGGCAACAACTTGAACGGTAGAATATCTAGAGAAAATATACAAACTCGTGCCAAGTTGATGTGTGGCCAGGCAGTTTTATAATTAAGAAGAAACATATAGAGCCTGTTCCACGATCTCGAAAGAAAATTTGTGCGAACGAAGGCTACTCACTCACTTTCGTATAAGAATGCGTTCCACTATCTTTCGTTCTTTCTTTCGCATAGCCTTACGTGATTCAGTGTTGCTAAATATTTTTTTGGAAAAATTAATCGCGAAATAAAGCAAAAAAAGCGTCAAATGTCTAATTTAAACGCGAAAAAGCAGCAGTGGCTCTGTCTCAACTGACATTTCAGTTGTAAACAAACAAATTGTAAATAAACAAACGAAATAAAATTTCTAGTGATTGTGTTCAAACTATTTGTGCTCTTAGAAAATAAAAAAAAGAATATTTCCGTAGCCCTATTTTTTATGGAGGAGGTTCGAAATGTGCCACGGAGGAATTTAAGAGATGCTTCGAATTTATTTGAAGTACCTAACAACCAGTAAGTATGATTGTATTTTTACATTTTTGAAATAATAAAAAATGATTTTTTCTAGGTTTGTGGCCAACTTTCGTGTGTCGAAGGAAGTTTTCGGGCTCTTTTGGATATGATGGAAGAGAAGTGGGTGCCCGGTTGCAGAACTACCCAAATCCGCCCCGATTTAAAACTTCTTCTGCTGCTTCCAAAAATTGGCATTCCTCTGGCGAACACAGGATTCTCCTCCATTTACTCAACTAGTGCCCGCAGCTGTGTAGTTGATGATTTTTTCGTGCTGGAATTGAGAAAATAAAAAATATATATATTTGTTGTTCACATATTAAATTGCATTTATTATTTTTACTTACATTTTTGTTTCCATTTTCAATCAAGCAATGTTTATGTTAAAACAATTTTCCTTAATTGTTATTATACGATAGCAAACACACAAGTGACTGATTTTGACATTTGTGTTCGCATGCGTACGAAAGAAAAAAGATAGTGGAACGCAAAATTACACTGAAATGCTTACGTTTTCGTTCGCTTTGATTTTCGTGCAAATTTTCGTTCTGATAGATTTTAGTGGAACGGAAATCAGCTGTTTGTCGTGTAAAAGTTGTGCGAACGTGTTCTTTCGATATCGTGGAACTGGCTGATATTCTTCTACCGGGCGACACTACATGTTTTGCAGTTGTCGGTGGCAATTTCAATTTATAGCACATTTACACATGTGATATCCTAATTGTTATTAAAAACTATATTCTAATTGTTTAAACTGATTTTGATATAAGATTAATATTATGATATTAACAGCAACAACAGCAGAATAGGTTCGAAAAGTAAAGAAGCGACTTGATCGAAACCCATGTCGCAGTGGCCAAAAAATGGCTCGCGAGCTGAACATATCGCAATATTCCATTCGGCAAATATTGAAAAATGAGCTCGGGTTAAAGCCATTGTAATTTCAAAAAGTGCAAGGACTTACATCGCAACAGAAGGAAAATAGACTCAAAAGATCTAAATCTAAAGAGTTGCTTCGCTTGGCCGAAGAGGTCAGCTGAAAATGTGCACCTTCGGTTGGCCACCAGAACTCAAGCGCCGGCCATGGTGATGGTGTGGGCCGCAATAACAGCTGGTGGTCGCTCTTTGCTAGTATTAATCGACTGTGGCATCAGAATAAATGCCGAATATTATCGCAAAAATATTCTGGAGGGTGTATTCAATCCTTGGGTACGCAAACATTTTGGCCACAGACCTTGGACATTTCAACAGGATTCAGCACGCGCCACCGAAGAATGGTTAAAAAATGAGGTTCCTCGCATCATTTCCAGCGCACAACGGCCACAAAAATCTCCGGATACTAATCCATTGGACTATTGTGTCTGGAGTATTTTGGAAAGCAAGGTTGGCACTAAAAAATACCAAAGTGTCGATCACCTCAAGCAAGCGCTTCGCCGGGAATGGACCAAAAGACCCCAGAACAAAATTCGGGCAGCGTGTGACGGTTTCATTGGCCGTTTGACTACCATTATTCGTGCCAAACAAATCTAAACTTATTCTAAAATTTGATGCTACTTCCGACATTTTTTGCTTTCATTCAAAAACATTTAAAAAAAGTAAAAATTGTGGCGTTTGACTTTGTTGCAGTTTTTTTATCTCACCCTGTATCGTAGTAAATCTATAGCATATTTACATATGTGACACTCTAATTGTTAACTGTTTTTGAAATTATAATATAGCCTTATTAACACGGGACATGTATTCTTAAAAAGACTATTTTTCTTCTGCAATAAATATACCTTTTTTCTCCTACAATCCTGCAACCTATTCTAATTTTTTACAATTATTTTGGGATAGTATACATAAAAAGCCCATTGATTTTTCTCAACATATACATATGTAAATATTACTTTAATTTTGTTTTTTAAGGTTTTTGATTTTTTCAGAAGCCATTCTTCGATATGTTTCCTTTCTAAAATTTACATATGTAGAAAAACTTAAGATTCGTTGGTATTAAAACCCCCGTTAAATAATTTATATAAAATAATAACATATTTCGAATATTAAAAAAAAAACATCGGCAAATTGAATTTATTGGTCTGCGTAATCCCACATGTACTATACATGCCAACAATCCTGTTACGCGTATAACGGCCACTTTACGTTACATTTCACTGTGTAGGCATAACATACTCATTTCACCATACTATTACGGTATAACTTGGAGAGAGAGTAACATTTTCACAAGCATTGAGAGAGAGAGAGCGAATAAACACAGAGAGCAAGAGAACTGTTAACATTGTTGTTTTAGGTGTGGGGGGAGGGAGAATAGAATGTTAACGATAACAGCACTGTCAATAGCACAACTACAAAGGCACATGAAAACATATGGCCCGAGATAAGAAAAACAATAACAAAACACATACACTACAGCTGTTTTGTTTTTGCTGACATTCGCTCTGCTGTTTGCTTGTCTTTGCATGAATTTTATTAACTCGGTGGGGTTTTATGGCGCTCTCCTTAATACTACTGAGTATGACATTGAGGTAATAAAATAAATAAATTACACAAAAAAGCAAAGCAAAATGATTCGATTCTTAAAAGATAAGAAGAAGAACAACCTGGAAGTATTTCCCCCCAAAAAGGAAAAACAAATCGAATCATCAGATAAAAGAAAGAAAGAAACGATGCTGCTGCTGGTGCTACTTAGGAAATAAAAACCAAAAAGAAATGAGTACACAAAATTATATACAACTTACTGTGCTGTGTGTTTGTACATAAGTATATGTATGTACGTCGTTATTGTCAATATTAACAAAATAAAATAGAGCACAAAGAAGTAGTTTTTCAAGATATATTAAAGCAAATACTTTTTTGTTTAGTTTGGCGTCACAGACGCAAACAAGACCTAGGGAATGACAGCTAAGAGTATTAACGGTAAAACATATGATTGATTTTGAGTGTTTAGAGCTACAAAATCACAACGTCATCTATTTAACATCTACTAGATACAAAGGCGGTAGGTGGGGGGCACATAAGATGGGTAGGAAGGTGTTGCCAGGAAAATGTGGTTCGGTTTCAATTTAATTGATAATTATTGAGTTTCTTTCTTTCAGTTGAAGAAAAAGAAGAAACAGCAATGAAAGAAGAATCTTGTTAAAACAGTATTTGATAATTGTTTGAACAAGATTTGTGTTTTTTCCCAACTCTGCAAATGACAACATAATGAGCAAAAGATAAATGAAAGGTTACCAATTTTGCTAGGTTGGCAGCTGGGTAAGAGAAGAAGTCAACTTGAAAGATAACAGTAAAATAGTGTTAAAATGCTAATTGTTTGTTGGAATGTGATGACGACAGTATAATATTTCGTATGAATGACGACCGACGTTTGCTTGATTGTCGTGCCGCCGCCGCTGCTGCTGCTGCTGTGTTTCGTCGTATTGCGGCGGTGTGGTGGTTCACGTTTAATTCCCCTTTCTTATCGTTTTTCGGTCCCCCTTAATGATTTGTTGTTAGTTTTTTCATTCTTATTTGTTTAGCGTTAGTGACACATTATTGTTGTATGACCTAAAAGATACAAACAAAAAACAAGAGAGGAAACACGACGTCGAAATACACCACACTACATATTTGACAGCAGAAAAACGTCAAAGTGTTGCCGAGTGCTTTTTTGGGGTATGGCGGTTTGAATTAATTTTGTTGTTACTTTTCATGGTTTCTTGTACATCTGTAGGTAGGTAGGTATGTCGTAAGATGTGATTTGTTACTTTCATTCTGAAAATAAAAAATCGCTGCACATTTCATTTTGTTTTTTAGTGATTTTTGCAAAAATATTTGCTTTCTCTTTTTTTTTAATTTAATTTTAATTTTTTGATATGCAGATTTTTGGTTTTATACTTATACACCTATTCAATGTTTCGTTTTGCTAACCAATTCGTCGTACGAATGAAATTAAAAGCAAAAATAACAATAACGACAAAAAAAAAACAATATTATTAAGTATTTGCAGAATTAGTATAAATAGCAAAAACGAGGTCGTTTCTGCTTTTGCAACGCAATGCTCTTTTGAGAATTTGGTTTTAGTTGATTGTGCAAAGCGTACATTTCTACATAGAAGAAAAAAAGCAACAACAACGAGAAAAGACAGCAAAGAAACTGAAAAGCCACAAAGGAAGAGGAATTAAATGAACATGTCCCAGAATTTTGACACAATATAAGAAAGTGTTCCGCACTTTTTGGGTTGGCCAAGAAGAAGGCAAATTTAAATAAACATAAATAAAAATATATATATTTAACAATAAAGACGAATGTCTAATGTATGGCCAAGCCACTTGAAGTAACGTTATCATGTCCTATGCATGTGAAACTCCCTTGTGAAATTAAAAGGAAAGAATGATCGATTAAGAAAAGGGTTGCCATATTAAGTCAATGTTTTGCCAATACAACTGTGAATATGAGATTCAATAAATACTTGGTCTGCTCTAGAAACTGCAAGAATCTGCGAGTTTTGCAATTTTTCTTGATATCATAAAGGGGAAATCGGATATCGTTGTAAAAATGTGTAAATTCTTCCTGTTCTTGAACAGACCACTATTGGTAATGAGGACTTAATGTCATATGCGCCTAATTGAGAGCTACACATTGTTCAATGCAATAACCATGGCAATTATATAGTTAAAAGTGCAAAAATGACTATTTAATACTAAACTTCCCCCTACCACTACAGCCCCCTTTTTAACATGCAATCTTTAATTCAAAGTCTACAAATATAAACCCCAATAAAAAGTACTCCCCAGAACATTACTTATAAATCACTCTCACGCGCGCACATTACAACTTGCCGATGAGAAAGAAAAAAAAACCAGCAAAAAACAATGTAAATGGCCAGTTATCATAAAAATATAAATAACTGAAAAAAGGCGCAAAAATGTAATGTTGTTGTTTATACTCCACGGAGTGCAACATTGCGCAAACACTCGCGCTCCCCGTATGCTGGTAGAGCGAGAGAGAGTTTTAATCCAAGAATCAACGAAACAAAAAAATATAAAGAGAAACGCTGTCTGTGTGACTGAATGTTATGCCACGAAATACTACAATGAATAAATGGAAGAGTTGAAATGAAATAAAAAGAAAACAGTTTGGTATAAAAACAACAACAACAGAGTTGACGGTATATGGGGGATAAGAAAATATGTGTAAAAAATATACTAGAATTCTGGAAATACGCTGTTCGGTAACGGCAGACACTGCTACAAAATTGTCGGTGGCATGGATGGGCAACTTTAATGTGCCAGTTATCATGAAGCACAGTGGTTTCCTGGGAAAAATTATTTAACTTTTGAATG